AAAGTGAGGACAAAATTGGTCTTTATGGTTAGTTGTAAGCACATAGGTGCTTTAAAATGATATAATTCAAACAAATAAAGATTTAAAAATCTGGAATTTAATTAAAACTCCAGTTAAAGCTTATTTTTACACCAAGATTAGGCTTTACAAAGAGAAGCAAAAGTTATAAACCTTGTAAAGCTGTCATTCTGAATACTACTTCTGATAAAGGCATCGTTACCGGAACGGCTAGACAAACTGCTTATGTAGGAGGACAACGATGGACGCCTATCGTAGAAACGATCAGTGGTTCCACTACTGAAATTAATGCAGCAATCCATTAACTTGCTGGACAAAAAATTTTTAGTGTATCATATCGTAATTACAAAACAAACTTTTAAACCGTTAAAGGCTTGACAAGAAACTAATTAGAAGATGATATCAGCAAAGCAGCAGTTAATTACCCCAAATCGATATCTTCCTCTACTACGTCTTCATCTTCCACTTTCTCATCATCGTCATGTTGAAACTGTTGAGCTTTGACAAGTTGAGCATAACGACCATCTAGTTCTACCAGCTCATGATGCGTTCCTGTTACAAAAGGCGTTAAAGAATTGAAACACCAAAAAAATTTCTTAATTAAGTTACATCATATTCTTCTCACAGTATTCAGTATCTATAGGTTTAGCCAAAAACTTGTAAGCAGAACAGAGAAACTTATAATCTACAAAATAAACTAGAAAACTTGTAAAAGTCTTCTTTAATTAAAAGACTTAAAAGATCTTTTAAGAACCTTGCTCAACTATGGTACCCTTCTCAAATACACAAATTTTGTCAGCATTCTTTACTGTGGAAAGACGATGAGCAATCATAATAGTCGTTCGACCTACTGCTGCATTATTCAGAGCTTCCTACAAGAACCTGTTAAGTAGCTAGTGTTTTAGCTAATATCCTTCGTCATTTCAGGAATCACTAAAAAATTGAGAAAAATAAATCAGAATGTTAGTTGAATGTTCTTGCACCTGAACAACAGCTTCAGAATGAGCGTCTAGTGCACTGGTAGCCTCATCAAGAAGTAAAATTTTTGGGTTTCTTATAAGGGCTCGAGCAATTGCAATCCTCTGTTTTTGACCACCAGAGAGTTGGACTCCACCTTCTCCAATTCGAGTTTGGTAGCCCTGAAAATTCATTTGACGATTAGCTACATTTCTCCTTCTGTATTTTTATCTTGTATATTGCATAATTGGTTATTCAAAAAATATTTAAGATTGGTGAAAGTTTTTGCAGAATTGGAAGCACCTGTGGAAGTTTTGCGATAAACGAATTAGCATTTGCCATATGACAAGCCTCTTTCATTTGTTCCAGAGTTGCGTCTGGCTTGCCAAATCGGAGGTTGTTCTCCAGAGTATCATTAAAGAGAACAGGCTCCTGTTGCACAATGCCAATAACATTCCTCAGATACGCGATATTAAATTCTCGAACATCTGTTCCATCAATCGTTACCGTTCCAGATTCTGCTTCGTACAGTCTTGTCAAGAGACCCACAGATGTAGATTTACCACAACCACTAAAGAGAATTACTAAATGTAAAAAAAAAAAGAAAAAATTTTACAGAAAAAAAAAGAACTGCATTTTCTGGCTAGCTGGAGAAGAGCAAAACAGGAACAACCTCAAGTAGAATGCGATTTACCGGATACTTTTTACTAATCATTATCTGAACAGTACAAGCTTTTTTTCAAATTTGTTTATTAGCACCACCAGAACAAGTTGAAATTTTTTACCAGCGCTACAAACAGCTCTGGTGAAACTGTACTTTGAGGCATTTTATGAAACTATTAGGAAGCAGTTGCGGAATTTTCCTTGAAAGCTCCTATTAAAGAAAAATTGGAAAGTGTTTTCGGCCTAAACCAGATCAAATTTTACACAATACACATGTGCAGAAATGACTTTATTTGCGCAGTTCTTAAACGACTTTCTTTTACAATTTTTTTCATTTTTTGTAGAGACAGGAACAAATTATTAATTTCTGCATGTGCTTCTAAAAGGTGTTTTGTAAAACTGAAAGAATCCTTTCAAGATCAGGATTTTTACTGCATTGTGCTGTAGGCTCGCTAATATGTTAGTAAGACAACGACAGTTAATAAACTCAAGAACAAAGAACACTGAATGATCTAAATGAAAACCTGTGACCAACAAGCGCCACTGTTTGGCCCGGTTCAATTACAACACTCAAACCATTCAAAATTTTGATGTCTTTCCGTGTGGGATATCGAAAATGAACATCTTTAAACACTATTCTGCCCTGAATATTTTTCGGACTTTTCCCTTGAGTTGAATAAACATCAATTCTAGGCCTCTAAAGATAAAAAATTGTTAGAACCCAAATAACAAAGATTGAAAAACCTGCAAAGCGAATAGAGCTAAGCCAACAGAACTAAGAAAACAGAGATTAAAAAGAAGTATAAGCGCACCCTGTCGATAGTTTGGTAGATAACGCCAGCGGCTACTCGGGCGTTAAGCAGCACCATTAAATGCGGACTAATAAGACCAAGAAAATAAGCTCCTAGAAGCATTGCCATCATTGCGGTAAAAACATCTCCGGGCTTGTCCATAATTTCAATCCGAAGTAAGTGTCCACCGTATCTGAAAAGTTTAACAGCAGTAAGAATTTTGCTTGCATTATTTTTCACTAAGCTATACTGTCTTGAAAAGCGCTTTTTTGCCCTCGTCGTACACAAATCTATATGAATGAGCTAAAAAATTACAAAGCTCCTGCGCCAGCAAATGCGTTGAGAAATAGGTAGAACAATCCTCCAAGAAAACCGCTCCATAAACTTTTGATAATTCCATGCTTTCTTCCTTTGCCTAACTGTTCTTCATATCGTTTCACCAATTCCTCTTGACCGTTGAACGCTTGAACAGTTCTTACACCTAAGATAGCTTCTTCGGCAATCGAGCCTGCTTTCCCAATTCCGACTAATTCATTCTGTGTTGACGCACCCATTTGCTAAAAAATTTTTACTTATGGTAATAAAATATAAAAATTTCTTTCATAGTTGTTGCACTGTACACTAAGTGGGAAAAAAATTCTAAGATTTTTTTGTAACCTGTGCAAGTTGTGCCATAATGAAGCAGGAAATTGGTGCTATTCCAACCATAACAAATGCTATTCGCCACTGATAAATATAGGAAATAACTAAAGCAGCGACAAACATTGCACCACCACGAACTAACAACCCGAGTTTATCACCTATTCCTTCTCGGATACGTTCAATGTTACTACAAATAAGACTATTATAAGTTTTTGTTTATTCAGCAACCACTGACAGTAATTTTAAAATTTCTTCATATAAAATTGAAAATTATACTTTAAAGACGATTTAAGAAATTGTTTGACATAAATCTGTTGACAATTTATATATGCCATTTGTACAAGGCAAAAAAGTTGCTTACTCATTAAGTTGCGTTGTAATGGTACCGCTATGATTTTTGTCAAACCAACCAGCGTTTTGTCGAAGAACTGCACGTAAAAATTGGTGCCTCATCTTTGCAATTATTCTTGTGCATGCTACCGAGAAGCACATGTACTAAAAATTTTAACAAATACTGCACAGCATACTTTTTTCAGGCGACGAGTATTGTTTTGATAATATAAAAATGTTTAAGCAGTTTTTCTCACCCTTGTTTCATGGTTAAGCTCGACAGAAAACTTTAAAATTTTTTTAGTTTTAGAATACTTTTTTTGAGCACAAAAAATACAATAAGATATATGCTTTTATAAAAGGCGGTCGAGTACTACACCTGTATATAATTAACTGAAACAATTAAAGCTGCAAGGCCAATAAATATATAAACATTTTCATAAGCCTTGGTGCGAAATTCGCTACTGGTTGGCAATAAGGTAAGCATCAGGTTACTTATTCGAGAAGCAACCAGTGCTAATACAGGTTGTCCAAAACCACTGACAATTGAACATATAATGCCAATGGCGACGGCTATTT